ACCTTGGAAAGGAGGAACTGTTCTCCTGAAGATGTCCCCTGGGGAAGGGGCGCCTTCCGTTTCCCACAAGCCACTCAGTTCCAACAGCATGACACACAGACCAGAACACAGAAAGTCGCGGCCCAGCTTAAGTTTCTCAGTCAACTCGGCCATGGGTATTTTCTTAAGAGGTGTAAATAAATTTTAAGGTCAAGGAAGCCAAGCAGGACTGACTTACCTCATTGACTATGTAATCCAACAATTCAAAAATCGCCATCGGAGGTCGGTTGTCCATCCCGTACGCTGCAGATTTTATATACAGAGAGAAAGCACTTCTTAGAAGTTATAGGAGGTTTCTGGGAGTATGAGGCAAGGAGTTGGGCATGAATCCTGGAGACCAGAACAGGGTCGTGGACAGCAGAACCACCACAGGTGAGAGCTGGACAGAGAGGGGACTAACAGCAGCCACGGAGTCAGGGCCGTGTCTGGGCTCTGCCGTGGCCCAGGTTGATGACCTTAGGTTCATCGGTTACAGCCAAGACAAAGTCTGGAGTTTTGTAAAACAGGACAATACTGTCTGACCTTCTCTGCTCCCATACATTGAGAGAGGAGTAAAAAAGATAAATAACTAAAGCATTTGATTTTAATTCTCCCTGAACTTGGATTCTTCCCTTCACATCCCAGCCTCAGAGCCACAGCCACCAGCCCCTCCAATGACAAGCCATGAGCTACCCTGGCCCAACCTGCTGCTCCCTTGACACATGTGCTCTGCCACACAGACCTCGGGGAGGTAAAAACCAGTGCCCCTGGTCAGTCAAGCCCTTCCTGGCAGGGCCATGTACAAAGATGACGGCTAGGGCAGACTGCCCAGAACACCAGGTCAGCGCCATGGCGCTCAAACTCAGAGAGCAGGCAGACAGCCGCAGTGCTTATCACCCTGGGGGTCAGACTCGGCCGCTCACAGCATATGCGGCCTTGCCAAGTCAAGTGCTCTGAGCCTCAGGTTCTTCATCTCTGAAACAGAGATGGAAATGGTGCTCACAAGTGGAATGCGATTAAAATGAGACATTATGGGGCTGGCAGGTGGCATTAAGGCGCGGGACTCCCGCATGGCTGTCCATGTTTTGAGTAGCAGACTAATGGCTTGCTTTCTTTCTTTACCCTTCTCTTGTCAAACTTGTTTTTTTTTGGAGAGGTTTTTGCTATAGGGCACATGCACTCGCCAGAAAGACGGAGACAGAGAGACAGAAAGCGAGAAATCACCTCCCCAGGGGGGATGGCCATGCTGCAATCCCTTCTCCTCCGTTCTCCTCTCAGGATCTTGGGCACACACGCACATGCGCCCAGTATGACTTTAAACCACCAGGTCCTAAGTTGAACTGCGGACGACCACATGGGAGTCCAGTGACATCACCATTATACCAACGGCTGGTCCCTCTCTTGTCAAACTTTTTATTTTTCGAGAGGTTTTTGCTATAGGACACGTGCGCTCGCCAGACAGACAGAGAGAGACAGAGAAATAGAAAGTGAGAAATCACCCCCCAGGGAGGATGGCCACGCCGCAATCCCTTCTCCTCCTGGGATCTTGGGCACGCACGTACACGCACCCGGCGTGAGTTTTAAGCCACCGGGTCTGGGACCGCGGTCGACCACGTGGGAGTCCAGCGACATAGCCATTATGCTAACTGCTGGTCCCATCTCTTGTCAAACTTTTAAAAGTAATAATAAATAAAACTAATTCTTATTTTTAAAAATTAGACAATACTAGGAAATCCGTGAGACGGAAAGTAGATGGGGCATGGGAGGAGCTGGGAGTGATGGTTAATGTGGATGGTTTGGTTTGGTTTTGAAAGTAATGAAGATGTCCTGGGATGAGCGTGGTGACAGCTGCACAACATGGAAGGATATACTAAGAACTTTAACGTGAGTTTTGTTTCATATGAATTTTATCTCAATAAAAAAATAAATCTATTCCCAAAAAATCATGATTAAAACTCACATCAGCAGAGCACATACAGTGCTTGGAGGAGAACCTAGAACGCGGTAGGTTCAACAAATGGGAGGGCGCTGCTATTACAACAGCTTCCTACAGCCACTGAGACCGCTGCTGCTCCCCGCCCATCTCACATCCAGGGACAGTCTTGGGAGAAGCAAAGCAGCAGCCCTCCAGAACCCATGACAGCTAGGGAGTCCCACGGTCCAAGCTGGGGACACACCGGGCTACTCACAGCTGAGGGGCCTTCCGGGGGTCCTCGGCCTGGGAGGTGTCTCAGCTGCATCTCCCTCCACCTGGCATCCAAACATCAGCTCCAGCTCCTTGGCATCTGGAGGAGGGATGGGATACCTCCCAATCGCCATCTCCACCAGGGACAGCCCCATGCTCCAGATGTCCGACTGCACCGAGTAGTGAGTGCCCTGGAGTCTTTCTGGCTGCAGGGGAGAGAGATGCGTTACCACCCCTGAGCCCACATGGCCCCAGGCCTGCTGATGCATCCATCTTACCTCTGTCCCCTCATTTCAAGAGTGTGACTCTCCTTCCTCCCCGCCATCACTGTGTTTACCCATCCTGGCCGGCCCCCAGGGCTCTGGCCCCCCTCTTCACCAATCTACCCCCATAACCCACCCTTCGCTGACAGCCTCAGACTCAGCCCTGGCTGCCACTCAGTTGTGGTTCCACTTTGCCCAGCCTGGCGCCTGTCTTTGATGTGTGGGAGCCTGTCCCAAGCCCAGGCCAAGGGCCTCGTGGCATCAACTGAGTCAGAAACACGACTCTATGTGACACAGATCAGCAACGAGGTGCTGCAGGGGGTGGGAAGGAGGAGCTGGGCCGGGACACCAGCTCAGGGCTCGAGCTACAGAGCCTGAGCCTCGGCGTCCTCATCTACGAAACGGGCGGCGCTGGAGGTGGGAACGGAATGGCGACGTGGTCCTCTTCTCCCTGCAGGGTGGCTGAGAAATCCAAATCTAATGAACACGTGCATCGAGTTTTACAAACTGCTGCACGAACAGGAGTGGCTGCTGGTGAGGGTCAAAGAGGGAAGAGCACACAGGGCTCTATGAAGGCGCTGTTTCCACTGGGAACTTGAGACAGCACATGAATTTCAAAGACCCGACCAGAGAATCCAACTGTTCTGACCAGAGGGCATTTATTCAGACAGCAAATAACTGCTCCCATAGGATCTGTCATTCAGCCCAACGCTGGACTGTTTCAGAACTGACCAGATAACCACAAAAACCTAAACCACTAAACCCTGCGATTAATACGCCCCAGGGCACGAGTGTGCAGCGGAGTGGCCTGTCATCAGACATGCGGGAAGGAGCAAGGCGGGGTCACGGGAGACCACCCTGGGAGAGAATGCCCTGGGGGCCAGCAGGGGTGAGATGCGGGTCAGTGTGAGGAGAGGGCTGGACTCAGGCTGGGGTGAGGCCGGCAGGAAGGAGTGCGGAAGTGGGTCTGGACTCCAGGAAGGCCTGGGCCAGAGCTGAGTCCTGCTGGGCCAGAGGTGGCTTGGCTCCTGCGCCAGCTCCACTGCATTAGCATGCAACCTGCCCGAGTCTAAGCGCCCTGGGCCTAAGACGAGGACACCTCCCAGCCTGCGGGACGGCCACCTGGATCCAAGAGTCCATCCAGGATGCGAACGCTCTAACGGTACAGACAGCACCCCCATGGCAGACGGCCTGAGCCTCTGTGCCTCGCCCACCACTGGGGCCTGCGCCAACTCCCATGAGGGCTGCCCACCCACTGCAGCACTCATTGAGACTCTCGCCCTCAGGGAGGTGCCACCACGGACCACCTGGCTCTCACCCGACCACCCACTCCCTGGCTGTGCATTTCCTGGGCACCTACCGCGTGCCAGGCCCCACACCAGACCCGAGGGGCCAGGGAGGTGCCAGGCCGGGCCTTGTCCCGGCCCCCGGTGGCTTATCGAGGGAGAGGGAACAGAAAACACTGATGCTGCCATGAGTGTGAGACGGTTGCACTCGGTGCTCTGGGGACAACCGAGCAGGAGGTCTGTTGCACTAGACGTGGACTGACCCGGGGCAGGGTCCGGCCCGGCGACCGAGTGTGCTATGAGGGGCAGGGGCCCGGCGGGGAGGCGTGCAGTAAGGATGGAGGAAAGAAGCTGGATGGAGAGCGGGAAAGGAAGTTAAAAGCTCATGTTTAGGTTTCGGAGCCAGTAGGTGGCGTGGTGGTTAGGGCACTGGACTCCCACAGGGCCAACCATGATTCGAGTCCTGGACCTGGCAGCTTGCTTTCTCATTTTCCCTCTCTCTCTCACTCTGTCCCTCTCTGGTCTATTAAAAAATAAATACATACATAAAGCTAAATAAAATCATTCTTGAAAAAAAGACAAAGCGGCTCACGGTTGGGTTGCTACCTCGGGAAACGGTGGCGGCATTTACTGCTTAGGAAAAAGGGGGTGGTGGGGCTGGGCCACGGCAGCACAGCGCCCTGCAAAGCTGGAGGCCACGTGGAGGCAGCGCGCCCGTCTGTGCCCGCGATTCTGGCTCACAGAAAGGCTGGCTGGGGGCGGGGGTGGAAATCGTGGCACAAGACACTGCTGAGGGTGCTTGTCTCTCTCTCATGGAAGAAAGAAACTTTTTTTAATTGGTAGAGGGAACATGCATAGAGACGGACAAAGAGAAAGCATCCCCGAATGGCGTGTGGCCACACTGATCTCTTCTCCGTCTCTCCGCCCTGTCAGGGTTAGGGCACGCATGCACACGCTCCTGGCATGTTTTTCCAAGCTGCCAGAGGAAGGATTTTTTTGTTGTTGTTTGGAGAGGTTTTCACCATAGGACGCATGCACTCGCCAGACAGACAAGACAGAGACTCGCCAGACAGACAGAGACAGAGAGACAGAAAGTGAGAAATCACCCCCCAGGGGGGGATGGTCACACCACAATCCCTTCTCCTCCCTTCTCCTCTCGGGATCTTGGGCATGCACACACACGCGCCCGGCGTGAATTTTAAGCCACCGGGTCCGGGACGCGAACCACGGTTGGCTACGTGGGAGTCCAGTGACATAGCCAGTACACTAACTGCTGGTTCCCCAGAGTAAGGATTTGAACTGCGGTTAACCAGGTGGGATCTGCCTCCTTTAATCACTAGGCTACGGAGCTAAGCCAGAAATCAAGGGTTTTTTTGTTTAAAAAGGAAAAAATAAAGAAAGGGGGTCAGTTTAAGGAAGGTGATGTCCCAAGGAAGCTGGCACTCACAGCCTCGGCATGGTAGCCCAGCTCTGGGATCGCACCATCTCCTGCAGGGGGCCATGGCCTCAGGAGCTGCGGTGCTCCCAGGCCCGTGACAGGAGGAGCCCATCTCCTCTTAAGCTTCAGCCTTCCCGGGAGGATCACCATGCCTCACCCCTCACTTCTAGCCCCCGCCCATCACCCCACACGACTCTGGCTCCACAGCAGAGACAGCCACTCGGCTCCTATCCTGCCGGGACCAGAAGCTTGAGAAGTGGAACCTGCTGTTCATACCGACATGTAGGACCTTGTGCCCACAAAGGAGTTGGCCATGGAGTCGATGAGCTGTCCGCTGACCCCAAAGTCACAAAGCTTGATCTCCCCACGGGAGTTGACGAGGATGTTGGACGGCTTGACATCTGTAGAAGAGAAAAGAAGAAGTAGGGAACTGACTCAGGCAGGCCAGGGAGGGGAAGTGCCGGGAGTCCACAGACAGCCCAGCCCTGACCGTGCGTCCCAGGAAACGCCCTGCCCCATCAGCAGCAGCCCCCAGCTGCAGACAGTGGACACCAGGCCCTTCATCCCCTCGTTCAGGCTTCGAGAAAGGACCCTTAGAAGATGAGATGAGCAGCTGCTACAGAGACAGGACAGAAAGCCTGGAAGATTCTCACTCTGAGAAGGCGGACTTGGTCAGACAACTCAGAAGGAGTCAGTTATCCTGATAGGACTGCTTTAGCCACCCTCACTGGCAAGATGCCGTACCTACAGCCGGCTCACAGAGAGGCAAAAAGACCGACTGCTCACTGGGGCTACGGAGACCAAAGGGGCCGCGCCGGGCACAGAGCCGTTCTACAGAACTGTGGCAGGCCGGGGGCCGACGTGGGACGCGCTCATGGAAGTCACTCCACATAGCCAATGTGGCCCGCTACATCTACCTGCGGGTCAGGAAACCCTCCAACTCAGAAGCCTGAAAGCTGCTCCTCCAGGTCAAGGCAGTGGCCCAGTGACCAGGCCCAGCCCTTCCCTTACTCAACCTTACGCCGCCCCCACCCGGCCACCCAGCGTTTGCAGGGGTAGACGTGCAGCGTTTTCCTGCTACTGCCTCCCCAGGTTCACACCACTGTCCAAGTGGACAGACAGGAACATCTGTCCTCCCCACAGGCAGGAAACCCATGCTGGGATCGGTGAGGCCCCGGTTCGGGCTCTGTGGGCAGGCAGGGAACAACAAGAGGGGCTCAAGGGCAGGCCATGTCCGGGGGCAGACTCCTAAACCAGCACAAGGAATCTACCAGAGAACATTTGGAAAGTCAGAGGAAAACCCAAGTCGAACATAATTCTTTTCAATTTTTATAAATAATTGTTTATATAATTTTATTTCTTATCATTATTATTTTTAAATCTGTATAAGGCATATGCACTCACTAGAGAGAGACGGAGGGAGGGAAAGTCAGAGAGCAAACTGCCAGGTTCAGGGCTCGGACCGCGGGCAGGCGCGTGGGAGTCCAGCACCGCAACCACCACGCCCCGGCCGGCCCCGGTGTAGTACTGACCTACCAGAGCCACGATCCACATTTCATTGATTCGGGGGACTGGAGGTAGTGTGGTGGCTAAACTGCTAGACTCCCACATGGACAGCTGCAGTTCACGTCCCAGACCTCGTAGCCTGTTTGTCTCACCTTCTCCTTCTCTGTCTCTCTCTGATCAAAATTTTTAAAATAATAAAATTGAATAACTCTTAAAATGTTTTTCATTGGGACCAGCAGGTGGCATAATGGTGACATCACTGGACTATGTAGAAGATCACGGTTCGAGTCCCAGACCTGGCAGCTTAAAACTCATGCCAGGCACGTGTGCATCCATGCCCCAAATCACAAAAGAAGAGAGGAGAAGGGACTGCAGCGTGGCCATCCCCTGGGGATGGTTTCTCACTTTGGGGTGCACCCTATAGTGAAAACCTCTCTCTCTTAAAAAAAAAAAAAATTTCTAAGAATAAAATATTTTAAAAATCACCCTCTAGTATCCCAGTAAATCCACCCCACACCCTGTCACCCACCTAGCCCCTTGTCACCTCTAGTCTGGGTGGTGGGCAGTCCCAGCCCCTCTCCACCCTCCACCCCTGGGAGGCAGGGATGCCCGCAGGCTGCCTCGCCACTCTGAGCCCTGAGCCAGGACAGTACTTGGTACATGGCAGACACCCCAAGAACCCATTTAATAAAGAGATCTGAACTCATGTCCACACATGCTAACACGCACTGTGTGTACACAGAGCCACGAGTGATCTAAGTCCCAGCCCTCGTGCTGTGTCCTCCCAACCCGACACTCAGACCCAACCCACACGGCACCCTTCTACCCACTGCCTTGGCCTCCACCCCGCCTAGTCCTCCCCTGCCGAGTGCTCCGCACCTCTGCGCAACGTGCTAGGCCTCGTGTGAGCATGTCAGGGCAGCCGTGAAGGAAGAGGCGGGAGCTGTGTAAACCCTGGCCTGCCCCTGCTCCACACACAGCCCTGAGCAAGTCCCTGCCTCCCTGGACCCTGGAGTGCCCATCAATGGAGAGGGGGAAACCACCTCACAACCACACACCAGTGCCACCCAGAGCCCCCTGCAGAGGGGCGGCACAGAAGCAGCCGGGTTAGAGGGACACAATGGGCCGCTGTTCCCTGGCTGGCTCCGAGGTCACGGTCCACAAACCGCTCCTCCTTTCCCAGCAGAGCCCTCCCCGGCAGCTGCTGGGAGCCGGCCCTCAAGCTGTCCTTGCATCTGGCTTCCCCTCACAGGGCCGACAAGCCTCTTTCCCAGCCTTACATAACACCACTTTCCTCCGCCCTGGCTGTCAGCTCCACTTCCCCCACCATCCCCAGGAGCACACTGCTGGGAGAGGCAGAGATCCGCCAGGGCAGGAGATCCTGGGGGCTTTCCACCGCTTGGACCTCCCGGAACCTCGTGCCAGGTGCATGGCCCGTGGCCCCTCCCAGTGATCCAGAGAGCCTAGCAGAAGCCACTCATATTCTGTTCTATAAATGCTAGTGGAACACCTGCACTGAGCCCTTAGTAAGAACATGGTCCCTGTCACACTCAATCACTACAGTCCTGAGCCACCGGGCTGGGACGCGCCCCTCCCCCAGATGCTCCCCTGGAGAGCTGCCCTCGGCCCACCCCCTCTGCCCCTGGAGAGCTGCCTTCGGCCCACCCCCTCTCTCAGCAGTTCCCGCACTCATGCCTGTGCCTTAGAGGCTTCTGTATTTGGATCCTGTTGGTGGCACCGAGCACCACCTGACGGTACAGTTTGTCAGCATCGTCCGTCTGCTGCTGCTGACACTTCCGCTTCCTGCAGAGGGACTTCACGGTCTGTCCTGTTACTGCAAGGTCCTGCACATAGTAGGCGTTCAGAAAGTCGAGCAAAAGGGCACACAATGCCAGATGACGATGTCAGACGAAGCCAGAGAGAGTCACTCCCTGATCTCCCTCCGCGTCCCACGACCTTCCCCTCCTTGCTGTCAGCACAGCCACCAGCACTGCTCCGCGGGATGGCCCTGCACAGAGCAGACGTAGGGCGCGGCCGGCCTCTCTGCCTGGCTGTTGGCGTTCAGAAAGTCGAGCAAAAGGGCACACAATGCCAGATGACGATGTCAGACGAAGCCAGAGAGAGTCACTCCCTGATCTCCCTCCGCGTCCCACGACCTTCCCCTCCTTGCTGTCAGCACAGCCACCAGCACTGCTCCGCGGGATGGCCCTGCACAGAGCAGACGTAGGGCGCGGCCGGCCTCTCTGCCTGGCTGTTGGAGCCTCTCCAGCCTCTGTCCACAATGGGTCCCACCCCAGCTCCACCAAGGTCAGGCCGGCCTGGCTCGCCCCACTCCTCCTGTGCGGCACCTGCCATCTGGAACACCCTCCTCTCCACCGCCTCTCGCCTCTCCTAAGTGCCTTGTTCTGCGTCCCCTCCCCAGCATGGGACACTGCTCCTGGAGTCCTGGGGGATCAGGTGGGCTTCCTCCTGTCTTCCTAGCAGCACCCTCGAACTGCTCACACCACAGGCCCAGTCCTGCTCTGCGTCCTGAGGCGGCCCCAGGCCTCGGCTCGCTCTCTGACCCTTCAGTATGAAGGAGGCCAAGGGGCGCAGGGGGTGGGCAGGCTGCATCATGGAGCAGCTTCCAGGCTGGCAGCTCCCCGAGGAGCCCCGCGGATGCTGAGGCCTGATCCCTGCTCTAAGCACATGTTAGGTACTCTGACACGGCACCCTTCCACCCTTCCAGACAGCCTCTGCAACAATGAGGGGTAACCCCTCTCCTCAGAAATGGACAGGTCTCATGAAAAACTATGTAGAAGGAAGTATTTACGTCTCTGAGATTTTTTGCCCCAGAGATAACCGTGTTCAAAGCCTCATTTTCCCTCTCAAGAGCATACATTTAGAAGTTTAGCTATGGAACATTTCCTACACTTCTAAACGCAGTTTGGATGAGATTATCTGGGGTCATCTGTTTATTCTATACGGTACTACCAAAATGGGACCAGCAGATGGCGTAATGGTTATGTCACTGGACTCCCATGCAGTTGACCATGGTTCGAGTCCCAGATACAGTGGCTTAAAATTCACACCGGTGTGTGTGTGTGCCCAAAATCCAAGAGGAGAAGGGATTACAGTGTGGCCATCCCCTGGGGGTGACATCTTGCTCGCTCGCTCGCACTCTCTCTCTCTCTCTCTGGCGAGCGCAAGTACCCTATAGCAAAAATATCTCAAAGAAATAAATTTAAAAAACAACTACTACCAGAATACCTGCACTGAGCTATGAGTAAAAATGAGGCTCTGTCCCCACTCATCGCCAGGAGGCAGAAGAAGTCACTGAGGTGTGTGTGATGGGACAAGCAGAGTTGGAGGTGGCGCCACTGTGGGGGCCAGTCTGACCTGCCGGCAAGTCCCCGCACCCCGTGGGTGCTGAGCCAAGGCAAGGAGCTGCCCTGCAGCACATCCCTCTAGTTCAAGCACCTTCACTGTGTTTGGTGGAGGCCTTTTTATTGAGGCAGATCTCACTCTGTTGCCCAGGCTGGTCTGCCTCAGCCTCCCAAGCAGCTGAGGTAGAGGCACACACCATGGACCCAGCTCAGGTGAGAATTAAAAGAAGCAGGTCAGGGACCAGCAGATGGCACAGCGGTTATGTCGCTGGACTCCTGCATGTGGCCAAAGGCAGTTCAAGTCCCAGATACAGTGGTTTGAAAATCATGCCAGGCACATATGGATGCCCAAGATCCTGGGAGGAGACTGGAAGAGAAGAGACTGAGGCATGACCATCCCCCTAGAAGTGATTTCTCACTTTCCCTTGCACTGTCTCTGTCTCTCACTCCAGTGAGAACATGCATCCTATGGTAAAAATCTCTAAAGTAAAAAAAAAATTAAATAGAAAAAACAAGCTACAGAAGCCATG